CCTCAGACAAGCAAACACAATTTTAAAACATATGGATGGATGGCAAAGAAAATGGAAAAAGGAAAGCAACTGCTGTAGAAGTAGAGTTTAATCTGGGTATGTGGCAAGCAAAAGTGGGATAACAAGAAGTTTTGAAGTTAAAGTAGAGAAACCAAAATAAAAATTTATCACTTTGCCACCCAAGGAACGTATTGTGATAAGAATGCAATATTATTCAATGAAAAACATTGTTTGATTCATCAAGTAAAATTCCCTGCTATTTGACTGTATTATAGTAGTGTCTGTATTCTGATTATTTATTGCTAGAATTCTTTCTGTTCAAGGACAAACTAGCAATGCCCAACATCCAATCAAAAAGTCACAAGGCTTGCTAAAAAAGAAAAATGAAACTCATGGCAAAATTTTAAAAGAGTAATCACTAAAGAGAGATTCCAGAATAACAGGAATTATTTAATTGACTGCTAATAAAGACACTAATATAAATATGCTTAGCTAAAATAAAACAGAGAGAAAAAACTAGAAAATAGACAAATGGAACTTTTAAACCTGAAAAATTAATATATGGAATGAAAAATTGTCTGGATTAGCACAAAAAGAGGTTAGATATGGCAGAACAAAAAAAGGAGGTGGGTGGGGAAATTAAACACCTGTCAATAAAGACCATCCATACTGAAGCAGAGAGAAAAAAAGGGCAGGAAAAAAACCATGAATGGGAATTCTGTGGCACTTGTGATAAGAGTAAACCATGTAAAAATATGTATATTTGGAGACTCAGAATGAGGGATGAGTAGAAAACTAGTTGTAAATAACGGATGGAATTTTTCCCAAATTTAATGAAAGCTATAAACCAAGCCAAAAAGCTAAACAAACTCTAAAAGATAAAAATAAGGAAAACTACCTCAGATGCCTGATAATATAATTATGGAAAACCAGTGATAAACCAAAAAAAGAAAAAGTGAGTGCCATGAAACATTGACATGTTATGTAAAGGGGAAAAAATAAGTATTACTGGCTATTTATTAGAGGCAATTCTAGCCATAGGCCAACATAAAAATATCTTCAGTGTCACGAAAATTTCTAAACTAGGACACAGTCACTGATGAAAATATTTTAAAAATTATTAAAAGTTGAAATATTTTCGTATAAAAAAGATGATAGAATTTGAGACCACCAGACCATCACTACACACAAAAAAATGTTCCAGTAAGGTATTCAAGTGATAACATGTGAAAACTTGGGTCTACCCAAAGCTGCAAAGATTGCTCTAAATGATAATTCTGTGGGTAAATACAAAAACTATTGCACATTTTTGAGATAATAGAATATTTAAGACAAAAATAACAGCAACATTTTATAAGATTTATTAATTTGTTTTATTATTTGTTAAGTGACAAACTGTCATTATAAGGGCTTCCCTAAAAATTCAGTTGGTAAAGAATCTGCCTGCAATGTAGAAGACTCCAGTTCGATTCCTGGGTCAGGAAGATCTGCTGGAGAAGGGATAGGCTACGCACTCCAGTATTCTTGGGCTTCCCTGGTGGCTCAGCTGGTAAAGGATCCACCCGCTACGCGGGAGAACTGGGATCAATCCCTGGGTTGGGAAGATGCCCTTTGGGAAGGGAAAGGCTACCCACTCCAGTGCTCTGGCCTGGAGAATTCCGTGGACTTTATAGTCCATGGGGTCGCAGAGAGTCGGACATGAATGAATGACTTTAACTTTCAGTTTTCCCTTATCATTTAATGGTAAAATATGAAAGATGGCAGAGTATAATGACTTAAGCTCACCTCCTCTCACAAAAGCACCAAAATCACAACTAACTGCTGAACAACCATCAACATAAAAGACTATAACCTATCGAAAAAGATATTCTACATCCAAAGACAAAGAAGAAGACACAATAAGATGGTAGGAGGGATTCATTTACAATATAATCAAATCTCATACCCACCAGGTGAATTATTAACAAACTGGAAAATAATATATGACAGATTCCCCACAGGACATTTCTGAAACTCAGGTCAAGCTCCCTGCCCTGGGGGTCTGGCATCAGGAAGAGGAGTCCCCAGAGCACTTGGTTTTGAAGGACAGGGGGCTTGATCATAGGAACTCTGCAGGAACAAGGGAAGGAAGTGAAGGGAAAGTCGCTCAGTCATGTCCAACTCTTTGTGACCCCACGAACCGTAGCCTGCCAGTCTCCTCTGTCCATGGATCTCTCCAGGCCAGAATACTGGAGTGGGTAGCCTGGAGTTGGTGATGGACAGGGAGGCCTGGCGTGCTGCGATTCATGGGGTCGCAAAGAGTTGGACACGAGTGAGCGATTGAACTGAACTGATCTGAGCCTTTCCTTCCTCCAGGGGATCTTCTCAACCCAGGGATTGAACTCAGGTCTCCTGAATTGCAAGCATATTCTTTCCTGTCTGAGCCACCAGGAAAGCCCACGAATACTGGAGTGGGTAGCCTATTCCTTCTCCAGTGGATCTTCCCAACCCTGGAACTGAACCAGGATCTCCTGCATTGTACACAGATTCTTTACCAGCTGAGCTCCTAGGGAAGTCCACTGGGGTCCAGGGGAAAAACCATGACTTCACAGAACTCAAGGCCAGACCCACCTGCTTGTCTTATAGAGTCTTCTGGGGAGGTGGGGGCAGCTGTGGCTCACTGCAGGGACAAGGACATTGGTGGCACAAGTACCAAGGAGTACTCATTGGTGTGAGCTCCCCTGGAGGCTGCCATTTTGACACCATAACCTGGCCCCACATGACAGCCTGCAGGCTCCAGTAATGGGATGCCTCAGATCAAACAACCCACAGGGCAGGAACACAGCCCTGCCCATTAGCAGATAGGCAGTCTAAAGTCTTCCTGAGTCCACAACTGCCTGTATACACATCTTTTGGCATGGCCCTGCACAACAGAAGATCAAGAACTAGCTCCACCCACTAGTCAGCAGGCACCAATCCCTCCCACCAGGAAGCCTGCACAAGCCTCTAGCTGAGTCTCACCCATCAAGGGGCAGACACCAAGAGGAAGAAGAATGACAATCCTCCAGCCTGTGGAAGAGAGACTATAAACACTAGAAAGTTAGACAAAATGAGACAGCAGAGGAATATATTTCAGATAAAGGAACAAGATAAAATCCCAGGAGAACAACTAAGTGAAATGGACATAGGCAATCTGCCTGAAAAAAAAATGCAGAGTAATGATAATAAAGATGATCCAAGATTTCGGAAAAAGAATGGAGGCATGGAATGAAACGATGCAAGAAATGTTTAGCAGAGAGCTAGAAGATATACAGAACAGAGTTAAAGAATAATACAGTAAAAGAAATGAAAAGTGTACTAGAAGGAATCAACAGCAGAATAAATGAGGCAGAAAAATAGATAAGTGATCTAGAAGACAGAATGGTGAAAAGTCACTGTTTGGGACAGAAAAAAGAATGAAAAGATGTGAGGACAGTGTAAGAAATTTCTGGGACAACATTAAATGCACAAACATTCACATTGTAGGGGTCCCAGAAGGAGAAGAAAGCTGAGAAATATTTGAAAAGATAATAGCTGAAAACTTCTCTAACATGGGAAGGGAAATAGTTACTGAAGTCCGGGAAGCACAGAGTCCTAAATGGGATAAACCCAAGAAGGAACATGTCAAGACTCACATTAACCAAATTTACAAAAGCTAAAGACAAAGAAGAACTATTAAAAGAAACAAGGGAAAAGCAACAAATAACTTAAAAGGAGTCCTCATAAGTTTATCAGCTGATTTTTCAGCAGAAACTTTGCAGGCCAGAAGGGAGTGACATGATATATTTAAACTGATAAAAGAGGGAAACCTACAATCAAGAATACTCTACCCAGCAAGGCTCTTGTTCAGATCCTATGGAGAAATCAAAAGTTTTACAGACAAGAAAAAACTAACAGAATTCAGCACCACTATACCAGCTTCTAAGAGCTAAAGGAACTTTTCTAGGCAGAAAATTAAAAGGCCAGAGAAGAAAAAAGAAAAGTATGAATGAGAAAGCTTATCAGTAAAAGCAAGCATACAATAAAGTTAGGAAAATATTTACACACAAATATGACACCAAAACTAGAAATTGTGAGGAGAGTAAAAATGCAAGATATTGGAAACGCATTGGAAAATAAGAGACCAGCAACTTACAATAAACTGCATATCAAAACCTCATGGTATCCACAAAAAAAATCTACAGCATATATTTACACAATAAAGAAAAAGGAATTCAAACTCAACATTAAAGATAGCCATCAAATAATGAGAAGAGAACCAAAGAGGAAGGGAAGAAAAAAAGACCTACCAAAAAAATACAAAGCAATTAACAGAATGTCAGTAAGAACATACATTTCCAGAATTCCCTTAAATGTACGCTGGTTCAATGCTCTAACCAAAAGACAGATTGGCTGGGTGAAAACAAAAACAAGACCCATAAATAAGTATTGTCACTTGTCCGTGGGTCCTCACACTCCACTTTGGAGGCACCACTGCTTGGATCAGGGTGTTCTATTGGCACCTCCCATAAGTACCCACCTGCTGATACTCTGTCTCTCTAGGACCTGTGAGTGTAATAAACTCACATCTCTCCTTAACTGAACCTCTCATATATCCCCTCTTAGAGCTGCACTTGTCTGACCATCCCATGAAAAAAATACAAAAAACTACCAAGGCACTACTAGTACATTAACCTAATTAATGTAGGTTCAACCAGGCAGTTGTACATGTATGAAACATTTGATCTCACCTCACTGCCTCCTGTGACACATCACACAGACCTGAAGGGTACAGTGTACACTGGGTCTGGAGCCTTTACTGTTCAGGGCCAAGCAAGCCCTTCTGCTTCCTTGAACACCTAATGCTCTAGGAATAACTGTGTAACTGGAATCTTCACCCACATATGTACTGAAGTCCACGATCCATATTCTTATAGTTAGGCTGGGAGTGAGACTAAGGCTTTTTCTGCTGGAGATCCCCTTCAAGACCAGACAAGCCTTACCTGAGCAGACTGCTCCAGCATCCTGATCATGGGAAAGGCCCTCAGGACGATAGTCTTTAACAGTAGAATAACTACACTCCATGATAGCTGACTCTGTCCCTCTGCAGTAAATAACAGAAAACCAAATGGGGCCAAGTGCTGGTCCAAAGTGAGCTCCTTGGGGAGCATCAACAGCAGCTCCACACCCCAGCTGTCTACACACAACAGTTGCCTCTTCTAAGCCCCACTTGTAATCATTCACTGTGCCCCAATCTTCTTGGTGCTTCACTTCCACTCTCCCTTCACAGCGGTGACCTCCATCCTTCAGCCTCAGCTCCAGATCTGCAAAAGAGACACAGACACAGATGCATGACGGGTCTTAGGATAACATTCGGTAGTGTACTGCCAAGTAATAAAAAATGAACACTCTTATCTCTGGAAAAAATTCCCTGTGTACAGCATTTGTTGACTTCTGTGGTATATATATTCCCACCATGGCCAACTCTAAGCTCCCAAAGTGCCATCACTGAACCTGGAGTTGGATGGGAGGCACCAGGTGTTTCTCAAGAGCCTGTAGAGACAGCTCCAGGGACACCACCGAGGACAGAAATTCGGAGACTCTGCTTTCTGCCCTCCCTGTAGATGTGCCCAAGGCTACTAGGGCCCAGTTTCCCCATTTCAGTTACAACTCATGGCCTGAGATCTAGGGAGGAATCCTCCATCTCGTTCCCCGTCCATAGCATCTCATCCAGCTTAGGAACAGAGGGCTGGGGTGACAGGCTCTAAAGTGTCTCAATGTTTTCTGCTGCCTGGTATCCACATCCTTGTGTAATCCCCACACTCGAATGTACCTAGTAACATGCATGTAACAAATGGAATCTGGCAAAAGTGATGAGATGTCACTTATGGGATTAGATTTCAGTTCAACAATCCACCAAAGTCTGAATGCTACTAACAACCAGGTAAGTACATGGGGGATATCCTCTCTTGGTTGAACCTTCAGATGATTGCATCCTTGTGAGACATCATGACTCCGAGGACCCAGGTAATTCTTGACCCACAGAAAGTGTGAGATACTAGGTGTTTCCTGACTTAAGCTGCCGAATTCAGCAGTAATTGGTTGCACAACAACACATAACTGATGCAGGGCTTCCCTCCAGAGTCAGAAGACAGCAGGTGAACAAGCTGGAGGTTTATACATGAGCCTTCACTACTTCATCCAGGTGAGACTTCTTCCTGTGTGACCAAGTCTGCTGCCTTGTCCCACCTGGAACTGGGACCCAAACCACCTCTCTCTATCACATCAGGTCTCACCCAGTGTCCCAGGCTCCTGTCTGCCTGTCAGGAACTGAGGAGTTCCCTGAGACCTTGATCAGCTCCATTAGCTTTAAATTCAGGTCAGAAAATGAGAATCTTTCTTACAATCTAACAAGACGTTGTCCCTGGGGCACCCTTAACACCGCTCAGATCTCTGACCCCCCCCATGTGCTCTCACTCTGAAAACCAAAGTGGTACATCACAGAGGGAACATCTGGGGAAATGCTGAACCAGCGAAGATCCTGGTATATAGTCAGATCAGGCAGACAGCCACCCAAAAACCAGAGTCTGGTTGGTTGAAAAACAGAAATTATTTATCTTCTTACAGTTCTGGAGGCTGATAAGTCCGAGATCAACGTGCTGGCAAGGCTGTGTTCATTCTGAGACCTCTGCTGTTTGCTTGTAGCCATGGCTCCCTCACTCTGTGCTCACCTGCCTTTCCTCGGGACAGATGCACAGGGAGAGAGGGAAGGATATCTGTCTCATCCTCTTCTTATAAAGTCACCTATGGGATCAGGGCCACATAATTATGACCTTATTTAACCTTGGTGTTAGTGGTTTAGTTGCTAAATTGTGTCAAACTCTTGCGAAGTCATGGACTGTAGTCTGCCAGGCTCCTCTGTCCATGGGATTTCCCAGGCAAAAGTACTGGAGTGGGTTGCCATTTCCTTCTCCAGGGAATCTTCCTGACCCAGGGATAAAACTTGCCTCTCCTGCATTGGCAAGAGGATTCTTTACCACTGAGTCACTGGGGAAGCCTATTTTTCCTCAATTACTTCCTAAAGAACCTATCTCCAGTGCAGTCACACTAGGGGCTAGGATTCAACATATTAATTATGGAGGGACACAGTTTACTCCACAGACCCAGGGAGGTCTGTTCTAGGAAGGAAATACAGATACTTGGGCAGAGGTAAGTGAAACAGTAGAAGTAGAGAGACTTCTACTATGGTGCTTACTCGGATTTTTTAGAATTCTGACACTGATGTAAGAATAAGGATTGAAAAGGATCCTGAAAGCACACAAGAAGCTACTTTTATTAATACTAAATAATTAAAATTTTATTAATGATAAAATTATCTATGGAGAAGCAGGTCTTTTTTAAGTACTGTAAATACAGAAAATAATAAGACAATGTCCTTGCCTACATGGAGCTTTTATCTAGTTTATGACACAAACACATAGGTGATTTCATTACTGTGAAGAGTTCTAGGAGATTTTCTTGGTAATGGTGGGCTTGCTTATTGAGGCTACTTTTTCTGCTGAAAAAATAGAATTGACTTACTAAAAATTATCTAAAAGTACTAAATACTTGATTAAATAGAAGGGGAAAATCAGCCCAAATCTGAAGGGTTCTTGTAAATTTACTGAGTTTCAAACAGACAGAAAACATTTAAAAAAAAAACAAACCAGAAAACCAACCAGAAATTCTGGAGCTGAATAATACAATGAGTGAACTGAAGAATTCAATACAGAGCATCAAAAACAGACTTGGCTATCAGATAGAGAAGGAGAAATATCATATGATATCCCTTATATATGAATCCAAAAAGAAATGTTAAAAATGGGCTTATTTACAAAGCAGAAAGAAACTCACAGATTAGAGAACTTAACTTATGGTTGCCAAGAGAAAAGAATGAATGGAAGGGATACTCAAGGCATTTGGGACCGACTCCTACACACTGCTGTATTTAAAATGGTTAATCAACAAGGGCCTACTGTACAGCACAGTGAACTCTACTGAATGTTATATGGCAGCCTGCATGGGAAGGGAGTTTGTGGAAGATGGATACACACACATATATATGTATGGCTGAGTTTCTTTGCCGTTCACCTGAAGCTATCACAATATTGTTAACTGGCTATACTCCAATATGAAACAAAAAGTTTTTAAAAATGCAGACTTGACCAAGCAGAAGACTCAATGAAATAAAATAAAGATCAGTTGAAATTATCCAATCAGAGGAGCAAAAAAAAAAAAAAAACAAAGGAGTAAAGAAAACCTACAGGAATTATGGATGCCATTAGGAGAAACAAGGTATCCAGGAGGCCTGCACAGTCCTGTCTGACTCTTTGCAACCCCATGGACTGTAGCCAGCCAGGCTCCTCTGTCCATGGGATTCTCCAGGCAAGAATACTGGAGTGGGTTGCCATGCCCTTCTCCATGTGACCTTTCTGACCCAGGAATCGAATCCGTGTCTCTTACATCTCCTGCATTGGCAGGTGGCTTCTTTACCACTAACACTACCTGGAAAGGCCAATGTTTGGGTTCTATTTTACTTGTGCTACTTACTCAAATCTTATCTGTCTTATTTAGGCAAGTGATTTAACGTTGCTTCGCCTCAGTTTCCTGATCTGCTTTTTGAGATAAATGTACTCTGCCTTGTAAGACTGTTGTGCACTCAAATTCATATAGGTAACATCTAGTGGAGGTGATGGAATTCCAGCTGATCTATCTCAAATCCTAAAAGATGATGCTATGAATATGCCAGCAAAGTTGGAAAACCCAGCAGTGGACACAGGACTGGAAAAGGTCAGTTTTCATTTCAATCCCAAAGAAAGACAAATGTCAAAGAGTATTCAAACTACCACACAGATGAACACATCTCACACACTAGCAAAGTAATACTCAAAAATCTCCAAGCCAGGCTTCAACAGTACATGAACCATGAACTTCCAGAACTCCAAGCTGGATTTAGAAATGGCAGAGAAACCAGAGATCAAACTGCCAAAATTCACTGGGTCATTGAAAAAGCAAGAGAGTTCCAGAAAAATATCAACTTCTGCTACATTGACTACACCAAAGCTTTTGACTGTGTGGATCACAACAAACTGTGGGAAATTCTTAAAGACATGGGAACACCAGACCACCTTATCTGCCTCCTGAGAAATCTGTATGCAGGTCAGGAAGCAACAGTTAGAATTGGACATGGAACAACGGACTGGTTCCAAATTGGGAAAGAAGTAAGTCAAAGCTGTTTATTGTCATCCTGCTTATTTAACTTACTTGCAGGGTACATCATGCAAAATGCCAGGCTGAATGGAGCACAAACTGGAAACAAGATTGCCTGGTGAATTATCAATAACCTCAGATATACAGATGACACCACCCTTATGGCAGAAAGTGAAGAGGAACTGAAGAGCCTCTTGATGAAAGTGAAAGAGGAGAGTGAAAACGTTGGCTTAAACCTCAACATTCAAGAAACTAAAACATGGCATTTGGACCCATCACTTCATGGCAAATAGATGGGAAAACAATGAGAACAGTGGCTGACTATATTTTGCGGGGTTTGAAAATCACTGCAGAAGGTTGGTGCAGCCATGAAATTAAAAGTCACTTGCTCCTTGGAAGAAAAGCTCTGACCAACCTAGACAGCATATTAAAAAGCAGAGACATTACTTTGCTGACAAAGGTCCATCTAGCAAAAGCTATGGTTTTCCCAGTAGTCATGTATGGATGTGAGAATTGGACCATAAAGAAAGCTGAGCACTGAAGAATTGATGCATTTGGACTGTGGTATTGGAGAAGACTCTTGAGAGTCCCTTGAACTGCAAGAAGATCAAAGCAGTCAATCCTACATGAAATCAGTCCTGAATATTCATTGGAAGGACTGATGCTGAATCTCCAATACTTTGGCCACCTAATGGTAAGAACTGACTCATTTGAAAAGACCCTGATAGTGGGAAAGATTGAAGGCAGGAGAAGAACGAGAAGGGAGGATGAAACGGTTGGATGGCATCACCGACTCGATGGACATGAGTTTGAGCAAGTTCCAGGTGTTGATGATGGACAGGGAAGCCTTGCGTGCTACAGTACATGGGGTCACAAATAGGCAGACACAACTGAGCAACTGAACTGAACTGGTGTAGTAGTCACAGTCGTAGTATGCTGCTGCTGCTTTTAAGTCACTTCAGCCGTGTCCAACTCTGTGGGACCCCACAGATGGCAGCCCACAAAGGTCCTCCATCCATGGGATTTTCCAGGCAAGAGTACTGGAGTGGATTGCCATTGCCTTCTCCGACGGTCATAGTATAGAGAGCTCCAATATAAATATGCCCAAGTAACAAACATCACAATTTAAAAAGCACAAATGTCCTGAGCAAGCAGTGAAGGAGGAAATGAAGCATTAAATTAGTGAATATATGTTAGTTTTTTACTATGAAACTGGATAAGATTTTAAAGCTTGGTAAAAAGCAAATGTTGGTGAGGGTAAGTGGAAACTAATATTCTTACACAATTCTATTGGAAATAAAACTCAGTGCAAACGTTTCAAAAAGCACTTACTCTCTCTGTACCAAAAGCCTTAAGAGTATTCACAGCCTGTGAAACAACAGTTCCACCCAGAGAACATCATTAAAGAAATAATCATGAATGGTCCTTACATTGCAATACAGAAAAGCTCAGAGCACCTTTTTTCATAATAGCAGAAATGCTGAAAACTACTAAATGCCTGATGAAATAAACTTTACATTTTAAGGCAGGACAAGAAATATGGGAGGCTGGAGGATGGAAGAGAGGACCCAGAGAGAGGCAGGCAGGTGCACAATATTCTCTGATCTGGTGACTTGCAGCAGCCGTGACCCCCAGCCCTGTGGGACCCTGTGCTTCACCGGCCATCACACTCATTCCCTGCCCAAGAGCCCCATTCCCCTCACACAGAGGGGCTCCACACCCTCATACAGCCTCATAGCACAGACAGTCTCACATGCACACTCACACACTACACACACACACAGACACAGACACATACACACAGAGCCTACAGGAGCATAGACAGGAAACACGGGGACCCAGGGGCAGTGCTCACACACCAGGCACATGGAGCATGTGGGAACAGCCCAGAGTCCCAGCTGAGCTCAGTCGCTGGACCTTCCACACACTGGGAGCCACTGGGACCCCTAGAGGCTCCCTGAGAAAAGGGAGACAGTGGAGGGACTCAGGCTGACCCAGCTTGGTCCAGACCAAACCTCACTGTTCTGTAAAATCTGCCGCTATGACCAGTGGACTCCCCACAGGAGAGGGACCAGTATTCACAGTCTGTGTGGCTCCTTTTTGGTCAAAAACACTGAGGCTCAGCTCCAGAACTCCAGACACTTTTCTCTTCACCAAGGTGTCCACTCCCTGCTGTGGACCCAGGACAGAGGGGCAGCTCTTACCTTGACCACCCACCACGGTGCCGAGGAGGAGGACAAAGAGTCCCTGGAGGGAGAGGTGTCGGCTCAGAGCCATCCTGACCCCAGGTCCTCAAGGTCACAGTCCCAGCTGCAGGATCAGCCTGTGAGGAGGCGTCAGGGTGCCGACCGGGGTCTATATAGACCATCCCCTACATCCTCCCTCCTGAGAGCCAATAGCGACACCTTTTACCATTTCAGGCACTATTGGAGGCTGCATCTGCCACTTTCTGAAGCTCAGACACCAATGAGCTTCTGAATCTTCAACATCTCCTTATATGAGCAACACGGTCCTTTGACCTCCTGCTTCCGTGTTCCCTGAGAGTTGGGCTCCATGACCGAGGCTGGTGTAGAAAAGTTGCATCAAAAAGCATGAGCGATATTTTCTCGTCTGATCACCCTGACCAATACCATAGACTGTGAGATCTGACAGGGTCAGAGGATGGGATTTGTTGGCCCGTGGAGAATATCTCTGGTGGAATCAAGCATTGATCTTCCCTGGGACTGAGCTCAGGGATGAAGAAGAGAACTACAAGAAGGCTAGAAATGCAAGAATATTTATCAGGCCAGCGGAAAGTGAGGACCAGGAGCACAGGGATTCATAGGTGAGTACGGAGGGAGTGAGGTGGGACACATCAAGTGGAGGGATGAGTTTGCTGGTCTCTTCCCCCCTTCTCAGAAGGATCTGGAGCCTGGGTGCTGGAGCACATGCATGCACTCTCAGTTGTGTCTGACTCTGTGCAACCCCAGAGACTGTAGCCTACTAGGCTCCTCTGTCCACAGGATTTCCCAGGCAAGAATACTGGAGTGGGTTGCCATTTCCTTCTCTGGGGAATCTTTCCGACTCAGGGATTGAACCCATGTCTCCTGTGTCTTCTGCATTGGCATGTGGGTTCATTACTGCTGAGCCACCTTGGAAGTCCTATAAGGGATTTTTCAGCCACATTAAATCCCTTCCCCTATATTTCATTTCAGTTTATGTGAAATATCCCTTTCAGCTAGTCATCAAATAATGCTTCAAGAGAGAAAGAATCTGCTGTTATAGGAAACAAAGAGAAAGTAGAAGTCGTCTTTCAACTCCAGCCTGCCAAAATAGGATTTGGGGATCTCTAGAATAAAGCATGTAGTTTAGAAAGACTTAGATTTCCCAAACTTCACAGTTTCCCCCTTTACATATTGACAGTTTGGTTTGATAAGATTCATTATATTATAAGCCATCACTAAAGAAGATGCAAAATATAATTTAAGGGAACTGCCCCAGACAGAAGGATAAATAGAAAGATGCAAAATATAATTGAAGGGAACTTCCCCAGACAGAAGGATAAATAGAAAGTATTCTGCTACATGGTAGCTACAGGCAAGGGGTCAAAGAAGAGGCCTGTGAAGCGGAAAAGAGAAGGGTTCATGCTGCCTGAAACTATCAGTGACCCCACCTGCTTCATTCTACGCTTAAGAGGAAAAGTGGTGACAAGAATGGAAGCCCGGGTGGATGAGGGGACAGATCAAAGCAGAAGGGGCTGAGGTTCAGTGTAGCCATTGCTGCCTTGTTCTGTTTCCACTGATCAGAAGAAGCTCCCAGATGGAAACCAGAAAGTCGTCCTGGGGTGAATAGAGACTGAGAAGGACATTAAGGGGATATAAGATAGTGACAAAACTCAAGGTCACTAACATGCTACCCCACGTGCCTCATGCCCTCTCAGCCTAAAGATTCCCATGTTGCACCCCTGTGGTCCACACAAGCCCACACTGAGGCCCCCTCACCCTGAGTCTCATCATTTCAGCAGAGATGGGGTAAGGACACATCTGTGACACACACACTTCAGAGTCCCCACCAGAGCTCCAAGATGGATGGCTCCATGCACCCCCCACCACACACACCTTAAGGTCTCAGTGAAGCCAACACTGAGGGCAGCTGTGGGCCAGTCCACAGCCCTGTCACATTCCCCACCAGATGGGCCCCTCATCCTGGTCAGCAGACATAGCTTCTCTGTCCTGTCATGCCCACCCTTCCTATTTGAGACTCAGATAAATGAAAAGGGAGAAAGGTCAATTGAACACATTTTTTTCTCTCTATTTAAATGGGCTGATATTTTATTTTACAACAGTCACTTTCTTGTTCTGTGTTCCTCTCACTTTCAAGCCCACATCTGTACATGAACTCCATCTCCTTCTGGATGCTTGACACAGTAGTGATAATAACTGATTAGAAATGTCAGAACCAGAATATAAGCTCAGGGGCTGGAGTAGGACCAGGATCTGCTCAGTCACATAGAGTTGATGCTCTACTCCCCCTAGGGCCCAGAGTCATCATTCCTTACCCAGTTATGGACTCCACAGCATCACCAGAATCCATGAGGTAGACAGCTAGAATACAGCACATGCTTCCTGGGGTCCACTGGTCCCTCCCACAGGATGACACAGGGATGCATTTAGTGAACCAGGAACATACAGTCCTACCTCGGGATTGAGATCTCACAGATAAGACGCTGTTAGGGGCTCCAGACTCTATCATAGGGAGGGGTGGGCTGGAAAGGAGGGGCTAACTCAGGGCTAGTATAGAGTCCCCAGCACCCGCTACCCCAGAGCTGGGAGGGCAGCATCAACATGGACCAACTCACCCTCTGATGAAGGTATATCTTCTCTGACACATAAGAAAATCTCAGTGTCCCATCTCATCCAAGATTTGAATGAAGAGAGCTTTAAGGAGAACACCAACCAACTTTGTCCACAACGAACTTGAGACAGTGCAGTGCAGGGGTCAGGAGAACAGACTTGGGAGCCAGTTTGCCCTGTCATGACTCAGAGCTCAGCCAGCCACATACCATGTGTGTGACTTAGTACCGGGTCCTTACACTCTCTGTGCAGTGGCTTAGTCTGTAAAGGGAGAGTTATCCATGTGCCTAGATGACAGAGTTTTGGTTAGAATTAAATGAGTTGGATTAGTAAGAGATATAACCATTAGTTAATAGTAGTACATAGTAGTGATAGAGAAGCAATATTAGGGCCCCTCTCTCCATCCCATCCCAGGAATCACAGAACTCTAGAACAGGAATTAAACTCTGTTACCTGGAGCCTTGACTAAAGCTATCAAAACTCTCTCAGAGTTTTGACATGCTGTGATGGTGATTGGTGCCAGAGTTGTGAATATTCCACACATCACTCTTTCTCCCTGTCCCCCATTCTACTGCTCATGAACTTTGACCCTACCAACTGTGAACCTCATGAATTAAGTTGTTTACTTGCTAATATTACTTTATACATGGACTTGGTAAAAGTTTTGTGTCTAATTCACCCCCTTATCCCCAAAGCCTGCTAATAAAAAATCCTAAATAATGTCTCTTGTATACCTGAATGAATGAATGTCAGTCAGGTATTTTATACTAATCATTTCAAAAAAAAGAAATCCTTTGAGAAATAATTTAACTTGTCGTGAGGACTTAAGAGCACAGTGCAGGTTGTGTCAATTGTTGTAATGATATTTCAATATGATTAAATGATATAAACTATTAATGGTTCACTTCAACACTTTGCTGCAAGGAATGAAGTAAATTGCATCACCAGAAACAAGGCTAGCCCCATTCCAAGAGCAATGCTGAGAGAGCCACGTCTAAACATGTATAAAAATGCTGCAAGTGTCTTTGTATATCTGAAGATAAAGACGATAAACCACAGCACCCTGACAGGTGAAGGCCATGAAGCCTCCTGTTCTTGTCTTAATCAGATATGGCCAAGTGGTCAGGATGTTTATGTATTTATCATTTGGCACATTTTCGATTCAAACCACACATAACTGTAACAGGGAGAAATTTTGCTATAAAAATTTTATTTTAACAGCTCGTTATTGAATTAGAAGTGCAGAAGCAAAGAGCAGGAAGAATCCTGTTCTTTAACTTAGACTAACTGTTTACTTGGTCTTATGGTAAAGCAATACAATCTGTAGCATTATTATTTCCAAATCACCATGGAAAATAGAGGTTTCAGAGGTTCAGTAACCTCTTTGCCAGGAAAGTTAATAATTAAACGTGCTTGCCTGAGGAACATTTCCTCAGGACTAATCAGACAGAGTGACTAAAACACAAAATATTTTTAAATTAAAATAGCGGTGCACAATTTAAAAGGAAATAATTAATTGAGTTGTTACACCTAAGCGTTGGACACCCACCTCACCATCTGTGTCCCCTGCATGGATGGATGGAACCAGGGTTCGTAAAGTCTCCTTTACCAAAGACCACCTCATCACAAGGGCATGGAGGAAAGAGCAAGGTCATGAGCTGGCTGAGGTCCAGCCCAGCATCTAAGTTCATCCCTTTACAGTCTATAAGCAGCAATATTGAACAAGAGTATGGCTCTGAATTGGCCTCATTCCTTCATAGTACAGCATCAGATACCCAGAGACCAGAGACGATCAAAGCTACGAAATCAAAGACAAGCAGATTCTAAGTGGAGAGCAAGCAGACCAAGGACCCTTCCCCACTGCTGCTGGAAAGGAAGGAGCCCTCCCACCCCAGACGCTGTCTGTGGGAGGAGAGACAAGAAGATGCCTCCTTAAATACAGGAAAATCAGTCTCAGCAGGGAGCTTGAACTAGAAATGACAAGACAGTTATTACAATGAACCCGAGCTAAGTTGAGGGACAAATTTTAAATGGGAAAGTCTGTGTTAATGTTACAGAACTTTCAATCCTCACAAACACCCCTTGCTAGTGCACAAGATGAAATTATTTATAATAACAGAGAATATTACATTTATGTATATTTGAATTCTAGAGGACACATTTTTAAGCCTATTACAAAAAGAAAATTCATAAATCTTTTCTTGTTTTTAAATACATAAAGTTGTCACCTCTGTGAATTCTTTGTAATTCCTCTAGCTAAAACTTACTGCTGTACCTATTTAATGTATAAAAACTTTCTTACATATACTGTATTGTCTCCAAAGTGTGGGCTTCTGGAGAGCAAGCATTATGTCTATTCTTCAGTGTCTCCTTAAGGTCAAGTAAAGACACCTAGAAAGAGCTTAACAAATGTTGCATAACTAAAGAAATGAATGTATGGACAAA